TTTATCTAAAGGAGTATTGACAACTGATTGCTGCTAGAATAAGAACAGCTGACCCTCCTAAAACTAAGACCTCTAGATAGGCTGACTAGATTCACTACTAGAAAGGCAAGTAGTGGGGAATGGCTGGGGTGCCGACAACACAGCAGACAGGGATATCAGAGTGTAAGGGCTCTAGGGGGAGGGAGGCTATGGGAGGGTGCGAACTGGGAAGTGGGTGTGTAGTCGAATAAGATGGTTTGGGATGTTCTGTGTGATATACACACACAAGAAAAAATCAACAAATTTTAAAAATATTATATTTAAGGAGGAAGCATGGAAATTTATATCATGCTAATTAGTAGAGGTGATAAACATTACCATTGAAATCTATCTGATGACTTCATAGACATACACAGGCACCAAGGATCCAAGTGTAACCAATTATGTCTAGTAATAATCAGATGCATACAGATTAGAGATGCATGTGCCAACATTTCAGTGTTAGTAGCAAAAACAATGAGTCTTTCTGCAAGGAACAATATAGTCTAAAATGAAATGGAGATCTTTTTTTAAAGGTAGTATGGAGCCTCTATTGGGAGAGGAAGGCTGTCTATCTTATGAGTTTGTAATCATGCTCAGATGCCGAGGAGCTCAGAAGGTGGGCGACTGTGACCAGTGATAGTCATGTATATAGAGATTAGAAATGCATGTGAAAACGTCTCAATGTCAATAGCTTTGGAATGAATTCTTCTGTATGAAAAAAAAAATAAAAAAATAATGATTAAAAAAGAATAATTAGTAGATGTAAAAAACATTACCATTGAAATCTACCTGATGACTGTATATCCATGCTCAGATGCCAAGGAACTCAGAAAGTAACCAACTATCACTAGTAATAATAAGATATAAAGAGATTAGAACATGTGCAAACATCTTAATGTCAATTGCATTGAAAATGAATTTTTCTGTATGAAACTGTGTATAATATATTTTAAAATGAAATGCAGATGTTTCTTAAAGGTTAAAACCTCATTCAATTTTATGTCTTATGGGCTTTATACAGAGTTCAATATTGTATAACTGTATTAATTCAACTGTGAACCTAAAAATTTACAGTCAATTTTGAAAGAGATATATCTTAGCTCTGGAAATTGTTATTGAATATGTCAATGCTGTTGTAATGAAATGCTTCTTCTAAGTATGTGGTTATTACATAAATAATTAAAAAATATATACAAATATAAATAAACCCAGTATATATACATATATATATATGACAAAAAAAGAAAAAAAACCCTGTGAACTGGGTATTGTGGTACATACCTATAATCCTAGCATTTGGGTGGTTGAGGCTGAGACAGAAGGACTGAAAATTTGAGGCCACTGGGAGACACAATGAGACCTTGTCTCAAAAACAAAGACACACACTCTCTCTGTGTATGTATATGTGTATATATTTATTCATGCTTGTGTGGGCATTAGGAATTTTCTGGAAAAATATTTGAGAAAGTGATTATTATAGAAATTACCTTTGGGTGCTGGAATTATGCATAGAGAAATATGCTTTTCATTTTATGCCCTTTGGTTCTATATGAAAGGTTTGCCATTTTTTTCACATAATACTTTAAAAATTAGTAGGCCGGGCGTGGTGCAGCACACCTTTGATCCCAGCACTCAGGAGGCAGAGGCAGGCAGATCTCTTGTGAGTTCAAGGCCAGCCTGGTCTTCAAAGCAGTTCCAGGCCAGCTGGGGCTACAGGGAGACCCTGTCTCAAACACACACACACACACACACACACACACACACACACACACACACAGAGAGAGAGAGCGAGAGAGAGAGAGAGAGAGAGAGAGAGAGAGATTGATTCACTATATAGTTCTGGCTGGCCTGTAACTCACAAGGCGCTGTCTCAGCCTCCCAAGAGCTGGGATTCAAGGTATTCACTGCATCCAGCTATGATACTAATTTAAAATTGAAATGAAATGATATGAAATGAAATGATAATGGTTGTACTCTGGTGTTCAGCTTGTGCTAGGCCTTTTCATCTTCCTGCTTCCATGGGCCCCGCTTTCTCTCCGAGCTGTTGTCATGCCCATACATGTCTATTCCGGACTTCTCCTCTTTGGAACAGTGATTGCCACAGTCCTCATGGGAGTGACAGAGAAGTTGTTTTTCGTCCTGTAAGTTGTGTGCCCTTTCTTCTCAAAATACTTAAGCTAGAAAATGTTAAATATTAGTCCACTGGGAATATGTAATATAAGCATAGCCATTTTTAATATTAAAATTTTAACCTTAAATTATTTATTTAAAAAATAACTTACCATTCTGTACATGCAGTGTAGTATTAGGACCACTGTCAAAAAATGACTTTTGGAGTTATGAGTCAAGCATTCATCTTTTTGATGTGCATTTTTTAAATGTTTTATTTATTTATTTTTTATGTGTGTGAGTGAATTGCTATGTAAATGCACCCATGTCATGCAGTGCCCACGGAGGTCAGAAGAGGGTGTCGAATCCCCTGGAACTGGAGTTTAGGACGGTTGTTAGCCACCATGTGGGTGCTGGGATTTGAACCTGGGTCCTCTGTAAGAGCAGCCAGTGCTCTTAACCACTGAGTCATCTCTCCAGACCTTAATGTGCATATTTTTATGCTAATTATTACTACAGTGTGTATACATTTTCGTTTTCTCTTTTCTTAATTTTTAAGTGATATGATGTATCCCAAGACCATATTCTTTTCTTAGGATTTTGAACATTTTTTTTTTTTTTGTCTTTTTTGAGACAGGGTATCCCTGTAGCCCTAGCTGGCCTGGAAATCACTTTGTAGACTGGGCTGGCCTTGAACTCACAAAGATCCGCCTGCTTCTGCCTCCCAAGTGCTGGGCTTAAAGGTGTGCACCATCATGCCTGGCAGGATTTTAAATGATTTTATAGTGTTTTACAACGTGAACCTAAATATCACTTTACTTCCATGCTTAGAGGGAATTTATTTATTTATTTATTTATTTATTTATTATTTTTAATTTTTATTTTATATATATGAGTGTATTGCCTGCATGTAGGTAAGTGCACCCGTGTCATGCAATGCCTGTGGAGGACAGAAGAGGCCATCAGATCCCCTGGACCTGGAGTTACGGACAGTTGTTAGCTGCCATGTGGGTGCTGGGATTTGAACCTGGGTCTTCTGCAAGAACAACCAGTATTCTTAACCACTGAGCCATCACTCCAGCCCCTGCTTAGAGGGAATTTGTGTTGAAGCTATATCAGATTCATCATCCTGTGCAGATAAATTTAATATTGTGCTGTGTGTTTGTAACTGGGCCCACTTTCTCTTTCTTCATAGGAAAGATCCTACTCCATACCATTCACTCCCACCAGAAGGTGTTTTCACAAATACCCTGGGCCTCCTGATTCTGGTGTTTGGGGCACTCATTTTTTGGATTGTCACCAGGCCACAATGGAAACGTCCTAAGGAGCCAGGTTGTACCCTTCTTCAGCCAAACGGAGGTGCTACAGAGGGAATGGAAGGTGCCATAGCAGCAAGCTCTGGTGATGACACAGACAAAGCAGATGCGGAATTAAGCAGTGAAGGAGCAGCCAGGAAACGAACCTTTGGCCTTGATGAGACTGGCCAGAGATCCACCATGTGAAATGTTGTAGAAGTAACCATGTAACTTGTCTTTGAAAACCAGCTCTACGGTTTAGCTTCTCCTGCCTAGCCATAAGAAGACTGAGCTACATAATAGCCCTGTTTACCAGAACCATCAAGGAGGATTTCTTGAGAGAGATTATATTGTTTGGGCCTGTGAACTCACCTGAACATGAAAGGACATAATATAAGTTGTGATTGTCACCTCTTTCTTCTTGAGGACCAAAGTGCTCGATGTGCCTGTTGGCCGCTTGTTTAATAAGCTGGCAGCGCCTTTGGCCTCTTGTCACACAGTCATGCCCCTTTAATTCTGGAAGCCTAGTGATTTCAGAACTGGGTGGAACCAGCCCTAAGTTTTAAAATGAGATCATGAAAATCTGGAACAACGATTAGACCATGATGCCACACAGATATTGTGGCTAGAATATAGAAAAGAAAGAAAAAGCTTTAGGAAAATAACTTGCTTCCTTCTGCTCCTTGCCCAGATGGTTTGCATTGAGTTGTCCCCCTCCCTGACATGAAGGTTTATATGAGGGCATTTTGGAGCAGTTTCTGGGTCATAGGTAGCTGAAGAGAACTCTAGAAAATTTTTGTAACTTTTAACTCAACGCCAAGACTTCCAGGAATTGCTGTTCAGCTTCTAAATCTCTTATAATGAAAACATTCCTGAATGTTCAAGCAGCAGAAACTGCACACTGCGAAGAACACTTTTCCTTAAGTTTCTGTTTTTAGTTTTCAAAGCACTTACCTGGCCTTACTATTGCACCAGACACTCTACTAAGATAGACTTTGTGAGACAGGTCTTGTTACGAACCCCGTTTTTAAGTGAAAGATCTGAAGCTTGGAAAGGTTAGTATCTTGGCCCAGCATCACACAGTTCTTCAGCGATGGAACTGACATTCAAACCCCGGTCGTCTGGTTCCCCTGTCTCTGACCCTACTTTTCCCTAGGCAGCTTTTCCTGTCTATACTAATTTTCACTGCTCTGGTTACTCTAGAAATCCAGGTTGGCTCCTGAATAAATTTAGTTGCTGAGTGGAGGCCGGTGGAGTGTTTCAGAAAGCTGCTTTACCTTTGGTCCTTTTCCAAGTGCCCCAAGACGGCATGGAAAAAGGCGTCATGCATACTTGGACACAGATCTTGGAGCCTCTGCCACTGCCAACAAGCCAGAGCCTGCCTGGATGCCCTTTTAATCTTAAAAGTCCATCTGTCCTGCTGACAGATTTGGGCAAGAATATCATAGCATTCAGGATTAACTAAATCATTATGGTCTTTGATCCTCAGGATCTTAGCTGCTGAACAACTTATCTGGAGAGACCTGCATCATGAGCTGCCTTTCCCTAGGGAACTAGGCAGGGTCCTTCCTGATTTTCCTGGAATCTTAGGGAACTTTGGGTTCTTAGCACAGAATTGAGACTTAAAGGTGATTGCTTTTCATGCAGGGAGACTTCTATCTAGGCTCTTAACTTTAAGACTAAAATGGAACCCTGACACAGTGTGTATGCTGAAAAGTTGCATTAGGATTTTGGTTGATTTTTGCCTTTCTTGCAATTTCTAATTGAAGCTTTTTAGAGCTGGGTGCTGTAGTGTTAGCCTATAGTTCTAGCTGCTTGAGAGGCTGGCACTTGAGCTCAGGAGTTTAGGGCCAGCCTGAGCAGCATAGTGAAGCCTCATTTCTTTTGTTTTTTTGAGTTTCTGGTAACCCAGGCTGACCTCACTCAGGGTGACCTTGAACTTGTGATATTCCTTGCCTCTGCCTCCCAAGTCTCAGGACTAGGCATGTGTCACCAGCCACAGTGTCCCAGTGAAATTCTGTCTCTTAAAAAAAATTAAATCCAAAACACAAGCATTTTAGTGTGAATAAAACTTTGCAGTTTACACCAAGTACACTTAAATACATTCGGTACTTAGTGAACTTCCTTTTAGGTAACATGATTCCAAAGACCAGACACCAGGTTATATAGCCTTGTCAAATCTTGTAAACTTCATAACCATACAGAATTCCTTCAATGCAACATTGCCTTCTTTTTACTTAGTTCTATTTCCAAAATTGGCAATAGTGTCAGGATTCTGAGTGACCAATCCAAGGCCTGGCACATAGTAGCACAATTAAATTCAATGTGCATACTGGGGGTGTAACTCAGTAAAGTGTGTAGCATACACAAAGCTCTGGGTTCAGTCCCCAGCACCATGTAAACTGGGTGTGGTGGTGGCAAATGCCTGCAATCCCAGCACTCAGGAGATGGATCAGGAATCAAGGTCATCCTCAGCTACATAGAGAGTTCAAGGCTAGCCTGAACAGGGTCTCAGAAATCCAATAAATAAGACATAACACTTGGTAAGTGATGGGCTATTATACAGAAGTGTGTCAAATCTAGGGTTATTTTGAAGGGAGAATGAGGGGCTACTGAATCCCAAGAATCATGGCTCCCATTCCTTTTTATACAGGCCAAGAGAGACGCTAGCAGTGCAAAGCTCACTATTTGGCGCTAGAATACCTCCATTGCAAAGTATTTGAATCTTTGGTTTTCTGTCAGGTGGACTAATGTGAGGGTAATAGTATAGGAACTTCTTTTCTTTCTTCTTCAGCCTTTATGATAGGATGCATGGTACAATATATCTAGAAAATCTATTTGAGACTCTTCTTTTAATGGGCTTTTTATTTTAATGATAATTACACCTTTATCTTTCAAATGCTGATATTTCCTACCTAAAGCATCTCCCCCAAAAATATCGCATTAAAAAGTCTGCAAAGAATAGGGGAGAAGAAAGGCTTGGGTATCAATTCCAAGCAGTGATTGAAATCTCCCCAAATAATTATAGCTTATATCTTCCACAGAGATAATCTGGCATGGCTTACCCCATAATCTAATTTCAGAAAAGAAAGCTTTATTTGAACACTGATCTACATCAACACGAAGGCCTTTTCTTTCCAAGGACTTAGTGAGAAGGCTAAATGAATATACTTTATTGAATTAATGCCACCAGAAGTGTTCAGTTTCCCATGCTTGTGTCAAACATAGCCCACCCTCCAAGTCACCGTCCTCCTTTTACAAGTGTGGTCTCATTTAAGCTGTGCGCATAGAAACAGCATCTGGGACCTTACAATGAAATGACAGAGTAAGGCAACTGCACTTTTTTAAGGAATGCTGACAAGTGTTTTCTGTTTTCTAAAGGACAAAATTAAATGTATATTCCATTCTAATTAGGCTCTGTTCCCTGCTAAGCTGGATGTCCCAGTGCCTACTTTTTTTTTTTTTTTTTAACCGTTATGGCCACATTGAAAGTGCTTTCTCCCAGTTTTGTTGTGTCATGATGGAATGTGTATCTTGGAATGTCTTTTTTCAAATAACGCCAACAGGGAACTTTTAACTGCCGTGTCTTATAGCTGCACATAGGAAGGCATAGAAGAAAAAGATTATTATTTACGAGGTACCTGAACACTTTAAGTGGGAAAGAATTCTATCTTTAAATTTGTCTTTTTATCTCAACACATTGATTAAAAAGTACTAAATATCTTGACTTTTATAATTTTGTAGGAAAAATATGCATCTATTTTTCTTGACTTTTTATACAGTAATAAAATGATACTTTCAAGCTCTTTATGGATGTTATCTGTGTATCCTGGGCTAAGCATTTCTTCAAAAGTTTCTCATGAGTTCTTTTTTCAGTTGTTTTCTGATGGAGATCCTTTTTCTCTTTCTTTCTTTCTCCCTCCCTGTCTTCCTTCTTTTCTTTTTTTAGTCCTTTACTGAAAATGCTGTCAGATTTCCTATGAAGTACATTCAGAATACCATGCTTTCTAAAGTCCTAGATGTATCAAAGGGACTGTCAAAATCCATGGTGTTTCCATCTACACAAGTTCTGATTTGGAACCCATCATGGTGTGAAAGGCTGATGAAGACACAGGCAATTACACAGACACAATAGAAAGTGTAAAACCACAGAAGACTCTGTTCAAAGTACTGCTCATTACAGAACTCTGTTTATAGCAGCTTTTCGTTGAGAAAGTAATAACTCATGGATGAACTGTTTTGTTTTCCCAAATAAAAAAAAAAAAGGAAGGGTAATTTGCATCCAAGCAGTGCCCAAATGCATCTCAGTATGACCATTTATTTATTTTAACCTGCTTTAAAAAATATTTCGTTTATTATTATTTTATCTGTATGAGTGTTTTTCCTGCATGTATGTAAGTGCACCTGTGTTGTGTAATGCCCACGGAGGCCAGAAGAGGGTGTCTGATCCCCTGAAACTGGAGTTATAGATGGTTGTTAGCTGCTGTGTGGATGCTGGGAACCAAACCCAGGTCCTCTTTGAGAACAGCCAGAGCTCTTAACCCAATATGCCATCTCTCCAGCCCCTTCACCTGCTTTTTTATCCAACTGGATATGTTCATGGTATTTTATGTGATATAGTTAATGTAACACTATGATATTGTGTTCCATTGTGCAACAAATCTGTAATATGTGTGGGCTGAGCTTTCAAGTTCTATCATATTTTGTCATGGATTTGTATTATTAAGTTCAGGTGTGCTGAATTTCATGTCAAGTTTATCTTAATCTTGTCTTATTTTTATAAAGTAGGGGTAGAGGTTATTGAAAGAGATTTTAACAGATTTTAAACATGAAAGTTTATGAGAAAGAGAGACGTTTGGGAAAAAAAGTTAAGACAGACATACATAAGAGAGAGTAGGTGTCTTAAGAGAGTATAGGTGTGGCCTCCTCAAAGGAGAGTCCCATTCTGGCATCTCCACAGTAGTGAAGACATATACACTTTGTTGGTGGCTCTGAAGTTACACCTGCCTTAATTGACAAGTGCATTTATTTTCCTGGCACATATTACCTGATCATTTTACATATATTACCTCATTTAATTTGGGTTGTGCTAAACATGTCAGTCATGCCATTGTGCCCCAGCCCCTCCAAGGCAGTCCTGTTATACTGTCTATATGTCATCTGCATCTCCTTAGCCTGAGCTAATAGAACAGGGCAGGAGAAGACATGGTCCCTCTGCCTCCATGTGGAGCTTCTTTAAAGTTGGCCAACACAGTCTAATGTAGCCTAGCATGAAAACCAAGTGACCACTTTGCCTCTCTCTCTTAAGAACTCAACCTGGGAGATACTTCATGAATGAATCAATGAAAATGGAAGCTAAAGAATCCCTAGTCATGATGCAAACTCTAGAGAGAATGTCAAGGACCAAGAGTCTGAAGAGGAAAGTAGCTTTTGTGAACTGCACATGTCTTTGGAAACACCTACGTCTGCCATTGTGGCCCAATAAGCCACAGCCCATACATTAGTGAGTGAGCGTGTCTGTGTCCCAATTAAACTTTATTGACAAAAGCCGGTGGTGGGTCCACAGGCTGAGGTTTGCCAACCCTTGGTCTAGATTATGAGGCAGGGCCATGGTAGTTCATGATAAGTTACAATAAAGAGAAATAAAAAATGTACACAGTAGGGAGAAAAATATGATGATAAAGAGGAAGAATGGTGGCTTGTTACAGGAAACCTAGTGGGTGGTCTCAGTAGGGCAGTCTTGGGTGGGAGCCCAGCATGACTATGGCTGGCACTAAAGCCAAGGTTGTAGAATCCTGCTGGAGGCTCCTTGGGCTGCTTTGGAGCCACTTCCAGCCCCTAGGAACTGCTCTTCTGGAAGTCATGGGGGACTCCATTTCCTTTTCAGTGCTAAATAAAATTCAGTGAGTTGGTTACTATTAGCTTTGCTTTACAAAGAAGACTGAGAAAAGTGCCTGCCCAATTCCCCCAGCTGATGAGTGCTGTCAGGAGAGTCGCCTGGGTCTTCTGACTCTTCAATTTAGATCACTCTCCATGATGCCCCCACCTGTGCTTTGAATAGGAAACATGTACCACAGACTCAGGTCTTGAATACGTGGTCCTTGACTGATGGTGCTCTTTGAAGAATTATTATTTGATAGTGCTCTTTTTTTTTCACATCTACTAATTACTAGGGAGCAAATTTTTATGCTTTGAAGAATTATTATTTTTTTAATCATTTTTTAACTTTTAATAACTACATTATTAGAAGCTTTTCACTACAGCTTTAACATATTCAGTAACACACTCCAGAGAAACAGTACATCTCTTTCACAAGTGGGTACAAGTTTCTAGGTTCACAGAAAAATATGGAACCTTTCACGAATTTGCGTGTCATCCTTGCACAGGGACCATGCTAATCTACTCTGTATCGTTCCAATTTTTTAGTATACGTGCTTCCAAAGCAAGCACATAATGGTGCTCTTTTATGATGGTGTTCTTTTGTAAGAAACTCTGAGAGATGGGACTTGGCTGGAGGAAGTGGCTAGGGGCAGGCCACTGAGGGTATCTTGTTTTCCTGTCTGTTTCCTGTCCATTGTGAGGTAAAGAACCTTCTCTGCCAAACTCTTCAGCCCAAGTGCATGAGGCCAAGCAATCATGAACCCAACTCTCTGAAACTAAGATCTAAAATAAATCCCCCCTTAAGTGGTATCCATCAGGTATTTTGATTATAGTGACAGGTCAAGAAGCTCTTTTCACTTTTTAATGAGCAAATCATTTTACATTTCTATAAATATTTTGTTTTCTATCCTTCCACCTAATTTTTTTTTAATTCTCAAATAATTACAGATTCAAGTAGGTTGCAAAGATAGTATACCAGGAGATAGCCCATGTAACTTTACCCAGGTTGCCACAATGGTTATATCTTATAGAAATGCCCTACAAAATCAAAACAGGGAGTTTACATTGTTACTATGTGTATGGGGTCTATGTAGCTTTAGCACATGTAGATTCATGAAACTACCCCCATGACCAAGATACACAACCACTTCATCACCTCCAAGTTCTCCTTCCTGTCACCTCCTTGTGTTCATCCCCACCTTCTTTCCCCCATCAATCCATCCCTTACCCTCTTCATTTTTTTAACACAGTATTTCCTCTACCTTTTGGGGATTAGATGAGACAGTATTATAATTCTCACAGAACAAAATTTAGAAAGCCTGAGATTAAAAGAAAATCTTTTTACTCTTGCTGTTGTTCTCCCCTCCTAATCTTCAAGGTCCCTCTTTTTTCATTTCCTTTCTGTTTAGAGACCGGACTACTCCTACTGGATGTCCTCTGGCAACTAAGTCTCTTGTTTTTCCTTTATCTGTTATTATCTTGATTTCTTCTTCGTTCCTGAAGGATACTTTCTTTTTTTTTAAAACTTTATTTTTATTTTATGAGTGTATTGCCTGCATGTATGTAAGTGCACCTATGTTATGCCATGCCTGCAAAGGTCAGAAGGGGGTGAGGGAACCCCAAGGAACTGGAGTTACTGATGACTGTTAGCTGCCATGTGGGTGCTGGGAACTGAAACAGGGTCCTCTGTAAAAGCAACCAGTGCTCTTAACCACTGAGCCATCTCTCCAGACCCCACTGAAGGGCACTTTCAATGAATATTTAGCTATAGATGAACAATGTTTTTCTTTCAGTGCTTGAAAAATGTTATGCCACCCCTTCCGAGCCTCCACAGTTTCTGGTGAGAAACTATAATGGGTTTATATGCAGAATTTAAAGCTCTTCCTATAGTCTTCATCTTGTTTGTCAATTTGAATGGATTGAGAGATGCCAAGGCAAAACACATTTCTAGGTGTGTCTGTGAGGACATTTCCAGAATGATTAGCCTTTGGGTCAGCAAACTGTGTGGGGAAGACCCATTCTGAATGTGACTGGCACCCTCTGATAGGCTGGAGCAACCCTGGCTGGTACAGGAAGTGGAAACAGGGTGATTTGCTTAGCAGCACACATGTGACTGTCCTGAGTGCGTACATCATTCCCTGAGTGGGCACATCAGTCCCTGAGTGGGTGTATCAGTCCCTGAGTGGGTACATCAATCTCTGGCAGCGTGGCCCTGAAATATCAGACTCAGATTCTCCAGCTTTCAAATGCAGAATAGCACTAACAGTTCCCCAGAGAACATCCAGTTGCAGGCTGTGGCTGCATTGTTGCTCTCTTGTGTTCTAAGAATTCCTCTTTTTTGGACTGAGCAATTATTGATTCCTCCAGCTCTCCAGTCCCATGGTGAGACTATCCCGCGCCTGGTTGTGTAAACCACTCTTAAAATGCCCACATAACTATATATGTAGCCAGTGACTCCTAGCACATTCCCTTAGAGATTGTCCCTCCAAGATTCTCTGCTCACTTCCAAGCTGCGGTGGTCACGTAGAATTTTATCCGTTGGCTTTTATAGAAGTGTTTTCTATGGTTTTTAACTTCCCTGCCTGCTTTTCACTTTCCAGTCTTCAGGGAGGTTTTTTGTTTTAGTTCGTTTGGTTTTCATTATTATTGTTTGAAATGGTCTTTTTATATAGCCCAGGTGATCCTTCAACTTAAAATCCTCCTACCTCAACCTCCTCAGTGCTGGGATTTCAACAGGAAGTTAAAAAAATATTTGGGGCCAGAGAGATGACTCAGCAGGTAAAGGTGCTTGCCACTAAGCCTGAGGCCCTGAGTTTGATCTCCAGCACCCACATGGTGGAAAGAGAGAACTGACCCTTGCAGTCCTCTGACCTCTATGTGCAAACCGTGGCACACAACCATCACCCTCACATACATACACAAATATAA